TTTCACATTCCTGGAGGATTGAGTTTATCCAGAAGTTGAAAACTGTCATAACGGGGACATAGCGAGAGATCTAGCGAATATATTAAATCATGACGCTGGATCTGCGAATTATATGTATGGATGAACAAACCGTGCATTTTTTTTTTTCATCTTTTAGTTATAAACACAGGCGGAGTCATCAGTGAGGATAACAGCATGAATTTAGAATCCGGTGAACCCCTTAAATATCTTAAATCACACATAACTCAAAGCCATACCTGAGGGCAACAGCAGGAACATAGAATCCGGTGAATTTGATGCAATTCGATGTCTCAAATCATGTAACTTGAGCCATTTTGAATTTCTCGACTCTATACTAGTCTAGGCTTTGGCGAAATGGGGCACTGTACTGATGATCCCCACACCATTCCGCAGCGATTCAACCATCTGTGTTTACAGTTTCGGGATGAAACACAGACGCCACCTAGTTTAAATACCGCTTTGCTGACGTGGGATAGCTAAATAGCGTTTTTGGTTTCACTAAATATTAAAATTTCACTGTTTTTCTCTTTGTAGGCCTACACCGTAACCAAATTACACATGCAGTCGCATGGTGCATCTTTACCCCGCCCTCCTCCAGTCTTCTAACGCTGTTAATTTGTTTATTTTCATTACCAATTTCAGTAGCATTCCAAAAAGTTTTCCCAGTACTTTCCCAGTGCTCCAAATTAGGTCCTGGCACGAAAAATAGAAAATCCCTGATTACCCGAGCCCCGCTTCTGGGAAAAATTTCCTTGGGCTTAGTCATACAGCGGAAGTCAAATAGCCAAATATTCCGCACTAAATACGGGAAGAAGGAGAAAAATGTAGGTGAAAGAACTAAGAAATAAATAATCACTAAACCCAGTTAGAAGTTATTTAACTTTCCCTTAGTTTGCTTTATTTCATTCCAGTTTACTTTATCTTACTTTACTTTGCCTTAATTTAATTTACGTTACTTTGCTTTACGTCAAAAGCAAGAAAAAAGTACCAGCAAGGAAGAAAGTAAAAGAAAGAAAAAAGTACAAGCAAGAAAGCAAGAAAAGCAAGCGAAAAACCCGCCATAAATTGGGGACATCCCCATCTATAAAGCTGGCACCTAGGTGAAGAAAGTGGGAGGGGGTGATTTGCGACGACTGCGAGTACGGCGGGTTCATTTGGGTAGGGAAGGAGCAAGGACCGAAGGTAATTAGTTTAGGGAAACTACTAAAACCGAGCCCCGACTCTGCTCGGCTCGGCCGCGTAAAATGCACTCGCTTGTGGGTTTGGGTGGTGTAAGTTGCGAAAATCCCAAGGTATCGGATTTTTCCTTTCGATGAACTGTCTGAGTATAAGCACAACCCTACTGGCCCTCTCTCAGCCCTAGAATTTCCTTGCTCAGCATCATAAATCCGCATAACTTGTCCCCCTCATAATCCCACACCTTCGTTTCCAATTTCTACCTTCAAGCAAAGTTTATTCTTCTTTCCT